GCAAATTTTCAGCCCCTTAACTTGTCTGGTCCTCGAGATCGCTTTCCCGCCAAAAAATTTGCATATTTTTTAAGACGTCCGTAGGTGGCACCCAGGCGTACGCGGAAGATGATATTAAAACGAGACGGTCGCGCATGGTATGGGCACATACTCCCAAAGTTTCAGCCTTCTAGCTTTTCTGGTTCTCGAGTTGAAAGTGGGTGACAAAAAGTGCGAACATACAGACACACACACAGAGTCATTTGCCAGTATGCGTTTTTGCAGTTTGCATATATGTCAAAACGCTTAAAAACCAATCAGCAAAACGCATAGGGTCTCAGGCGTGATCACAGGTTTTCGTGTTCAAATTGAAGCATTCAGATCGCTAATAGCATAAATGGCTGCTTCCTTACAGTTTAACGCGTATATTCATCTTGGCTGTATTTTGGTTTTTTCTTGCATGCAGAGTAAAAAGGGGCATTGGTTGAGATGATAGTGTTGCATAGCGAGCTGCATGAAACCTCAACCTCTAGCACGCATAACTATCGCAAATTTTATATAAAGAGGAGTAAAAAATTTGCTGTTGCTGTTCAGTCATTGAAAACGCAAACTAAGCAATGAACAGGATGTAATGAAAAAGGATGACAAAATTCAAGCAAACTGCACCTGCTTTTGAGGTGCGGTACAGCTGAGGGTTTGTGCGTGTGTGCAGGGGATTTAGTGTCCAAGCTCCCACACGTGAATGTACAGTATCCTTAGAAAATTACAGCTTCGTAGTTTGTCTGATGCATGAATCGCCGGCGCCTCGCTACAAATATTTCCGGTATACCCTAAAGCATCGTGCAAGCGCAATTCGAAACTTCATATAGGTGTACGAATTCCCAGACGAACGATAAATATTCTGGCAAAATTGCAGCGATCGTTTTCTGTCCAATTATTGAGTTGGAATGGTGTCACTGTGAGTTTTGATGTGTTCGTAGGCATGACGTAAGCGTGCGCGACGACTGAATTTGAAAATTTTAGGTTGAACATAGATAGAGGGCATTCTTGCAAAGACCAAGCTTCCTAAGTGGACTGGTGCCACAAGTCGCTTCTGGCCAAAAAATTTATGTTTTATTCGGTGTCAGAACATGGAATCAAGACGCTCTTAAAGATGATTTTAAAACGGAAGAGCGACATGTGGGATAGGAATATGTTCTTACGATT